CAGAAATGGATAAATAGCGAAAGAGGCAACGGTTGCCACGTTGAAATGAGTAGCTTAATAAACAATTAAACATTACATATCAAAAAAGCGCTATATGATGCTTAATATGTTCCCAAATATAGTCAAACCTATAAAGCTCATTCATGCTCGAACATAATTGGAAAACTCTAAGGGCGTGCTTGGATATAAAATTTTCATTCAAAATGAATTTTTTTGGTTCATCAGGTAGACGTTAGTGAAATTTTAAGTTTATAAATTTATGTTTAAAATGAAATAATTAAAGCTGATTTGATGTAAAAGTATGAGAGAGATGATGTGAAATGATGGTTAATTAAAAATTATGTTGGTGGATGAATAATGAATTAAAGTTGATGTAGTTGTAGGAATGATTGATCGATATTATTTAATTATAGTGATAATATTTTTTTAATAAATATTCATGCTTTCATACTCAAATGACATATTTTAAAAACATAAACTAAGTACGATACATTTTAGTATTCGTTTAACCGATAGGTCGACTCACACAAGAATTTGTTTTGTTTATTACGTAGATTCGGGTAATAATAATAATAATAATAATAATAATAATAATAATAAATTGTTAAAAAAAAAAAGAAAGAAAAGTCAGATTTCATCACCAGCTTCAAATTCACTCCAGCATTATTAAAGTAGAAGCCAATTGACACAAGCAAAGACTCAGACTGAGACAGTGTGTGCAAGGAAAAAAGAAAAGAAAAGAAAAAAATAAAAAAAATGTGTGTGAATTCCATATCCATCTTCCTCTTCCTCACTTCAGCTCTATGCTTCTCATCACTATCTTCATTTACAGTTGCAGAGAATGAGAACTCAGCTGGGCTTGCCATGAACTATTACAAGGACACGTGTCCACAAGCAGAGGACATCATAAAAGAGCAAGTCCAGCTTCTATACAAGCGCCACAAGAACACCGCTTTCTCCTGGCTCAGGAACATCTTCCATGACTGCTTTGTTGAGGTTCTTACACAAAAATCATAATCACCTCATTTATATTTAAATCAAGAATTGCTGATTTTTTTATTTTTTTATTTTTGGGTTAGTCATGTGATGCATCTCTTTTGCTGGACTCGACGAGGAGAATGCTGTCGGAGAAGGAGACAGATAGAAGCTTCGGAATGAGGAATTTCAGGTACATAGAGACGATTAAGGAGGCTCTTGAAAGAGAGTGCCCAGGCATTGTTTCGTGCTCGGATATTCTTGTGTTGTCCGCCCGAGATGGCATTGTTGCTGTAAGTATAGTTAAATATATCTTCTTATTTCTTCAAGAACTTATGCAGGGAATTTTCCAACACACTGCAAAAGGTCAAGTTTTTCATAACTGACCAATATATGTATGTACTGCATGCTGTTTATATTATCTGTTCTTAGTTGAACAGAAAACTTCAAGAATGTGCAGTAAATTATAATTATGTAAATATGAAGAATAGTTTTCTTTCTATAAATTGTGTTCCTCTATGTGACTGTCAAAAAAATATTACCGCAATTAGTTACAAGCAGTGTTGGATATATTGAAGCAGAGTGCAAAAGAAAGCTACTTTAAATTGTGCTCTCTCTCTGTTAGGTCTCTGTGTGTTGATTTTTGTTTGTTTTACCATATAAACTACGGATTCTATTTTCTTTTTCTTTATATTTATTTTTTTATTTGGCAGCTTGGAGGGCCACATATCCCACTTAAAACAGGAAGAAGAGATGGTCGGAAAAGCAGAGCAGATATATTAGAGCAGCATTTACCAGACCACAATGAGAGCATGAGTGTTGTTCTCGACCGCTTTGCAAACATAGGCATCAACACCCCTGGAGTAGTTGCGTTGCTCGGTATAAAAATAAAAATAAAAATAATAATATCCATATTTCATCATTTATCGAATCTAAAACTGGCCGGGCTCAGAACAGAGTAAGCCCAACAGATCTGGACTTGGGCCCGGCCCATTCAACACTGTTAAAAAAAGTTACAATCTTTTTTACTAACAGGGGCCCACAGCGTGGGCCGAACCCACTGCGTGAAGCTGGTCCACAGGCTCTATCCAGAAGTGGACCCCACACTAAACCCAGGCCACGTGGAGCACATGCTGTACAAGTGTCCTGATGCAATACCCGACCCAAAGGCCGTGCAGTACGTGAGGAATGATCGTGGCACGCCAATGAAGCTCGACAATAACTACTATCGAAACATACTCGATAACAAAGGTCTCCTGATCGTTGACCACCAGCTGGCAACCGATAAACGGACCAAGCCTTTTGTTAAGAAGATGGCCAAGAGGGAGGATTATTTCTTTAAGGAGTTTGCAAGGGCTATTACGATTCTGTCAGAGAATAATCCGCTCACCGGGACTAAAGGTGAGATTAGGAAGCAGTGTAATGTTGCCAACAAGCTGCATTGAAGTAAATGGCGAGTGATAAGTGGGGCAAAGCAAGAATAAGACTGTGTTTCTATGAATGAATGAATGGTCGTCAGTGAATGGCAAGAAATTAGTAGTGATGTTAAATCTAAATTAATTATGTGTTCTGTTTTGTGTTTTTTTGCATGCTTGTGCTTTTTCCTTTTTCAGGGTTTGCTTTATGTGGGGTTCATGGGTGTGGAGAGTGAGTGAGTGCTATTTGTATGGTGTATGAATGTTGAATGTTTAAAGCAAGGCCTGTGTAAATATTATCTATCTATCTATGTGTATATCTCACTTTCCAAAGAGAGATTCTAGCAGGAGAGATGATGATCAACGAAAACCACAGGACTGCAAACGCACCGAGCCGCTCGCGAGCGCTCGAGTCAAAGCTTGACTTGAGCTCGAGTTTGACCGAACTCGAGTCGAGCTCGAGCGGCTCAAGCACGAACTCAAAGTCGAGCTCGAACCCATATTTTGCATTGTCGAGCTGCTCGAGATATATGTTGAATTACTAAAATACTCCATATATATATATATATGTATATTAGTATATTACAATAGTATAACATAGGTGCTTAATGATAATTTTATTTTTCCACTTAAAAATTTTCGAACTGAGCTCAAACATTTTGATTTCGAGTCGAACTTTTTTTATCGAGTCGAGCTCGAGCCTCATAAATCGAGCTTAGCTCGAGCTTGAGCAGCTAAAAAAAAATCAATCTCGCTCAATAAGGTCAATGCTCGACGTTACAATTTTACAAACTCCCCAGAGAGTTGTCTATAGTTTATGTATATATTGGACTTCACCATAATCTAAAATAGAATACCATGCTGCAAACCAGAAGCAACACAATTAACTGCTACAAGATTCCCTTTCCCTTTCTTGTACTTTTTTTTTTTCTTTAAAAAATACAAGTGGTCACAATAAAGTTAAAGAAAAGGGGGCCCGAGTTGTATTATATCTATCTGTCAGCAACTAAACAAACAAGATACTTGTTGATGACTCATATAGCAATAGCATAATAGCATTCAATTGCTACTTGACAAAAAAGAAAAAGTCATCCATCAGGGCATCTTTTGCCTTTCTGGAATCACAACCAGCAGCCCTTTGTTTGGATTTTCATTACCCTAGTACCTTAGTGAAAATAAGTAGCAGCTTTATAGAACAAGAAATTACAGTTAATGACTTAATGAGAACTGAGCAGAATAATTTTATTTTATTTTATTCTATTTTTGTCATGAAATCAGGGGCTTAATTTACCTGGTTGGGTTCTGATAAAGAAATCCTAGCAGTAAATTAACTTGTTATAACATATAGTATACACAGCCTCCTTCAAGATTAAAAGTAACAGAAAAATATTCGTACATTAGGAATTAAAATTTTGATCTCAAAACACATCAAACAAACGGTTAACAAATCAACGATAACTGAGTATCCATTGGTACAACAGTTACAAACTGAAGTAAAAATAAAAAAGAAGAAAAAAAAATTGCATGCATCTCTAACCATACCCTGTTTAATGAGTCGGCTAAGGAAACAATGAATTTTTTTTCCCTTACATTCGCAATCGAGGTTTTCGCTATTCTAGGCGAAGTCTAGTAATAGAATCGTAAAATGTCCAGCTCACCTCTATTTTTAAAATAGTTTTACCTGTTGTGTTGTTCCACTTCTCATCATTGCACAGAACTCCTCATAGTTGATTCTACCATCCTGTAAAATGCAGATTTTTTATTTTTTTTTTATTTTTATTTTAATTACTAGTCTAATTCACAAAGCCAGTTAAATAATTTTCGAATGAATTTTAAGCCCAACTTACATTATCTGTGTCCACCTCTGAGAGAATTTCCTCGATTGTAGCCTCATCTCCCATACCATATTCCTTCATTGCAGATTTCAGTTCGTCTCTCGTGATATAGCTGAAACCAATTAAAGTAAGGACAATGCTACATGTACAATTGTAGTTTACAACATTGGTTGATAACTTAGTTAAAAGTATCATTAACTCAAATCTCAACCATGCATATATTTGCATCTCAACCATACATTTATTTGCATCTCAACCACCCACATCATGCCACATCATGTTGTCATTGAATGTTGTACAAAAAAGTTGTACAAATAGCTTTTTAATGATAAGCAATGCATGAGAGAATAACACTATAATACGATGGAAAGCTTGTTTAAGCTTTAATTTAGTAACATAACTTGACAGCTTATCTAAAAAGCATCAATCCACCAAAGATTGGTTTGTGTTTGGTTTGACAAAGATTAAACTTTTAGAGCTCATTTTAATTTTCCCAACAAAAAGATAAGTAAATCAGTAATGTGTTCACTTCTACTTGATTTTTACCAAGAATATGTAATAAAATTAATAAGATAGGGTTCAATGTTCGAAAGAGCCCGTACCATTAAGTAACCTATCAGTTTCAGTGCAAAACATAGGTCAACAAAAATAAAAATTAAAATAAAAATGCTTGAGCGTTAAAAAAACATAAAATAACGATAGAAAAGAAACTGATGTATTTTAGCTTACCCACTGTTATCCTTGTCAAAATATTGAAATGCACCAAACAGATTTTCATCTCTTTCCAGCTTATGTCGGTGCATTGTAGCAGTTATAAACTCCACGTAGTCTATAGTCCCGTTACCATCCACATCAGCCTGATATTTAAAAAGGCATATAATTTACTCCAAGAAAAATACAAATAAATAATATACAGAATATTTGTCCTACACAAAGAGTGCAAAGGCTTACAGCTTCCATGAGCTGCTTTACTTCAGTTTCTGATAGTTTCGACCCCAGCCGAGCCAATCCAGATTTCAATTCTTCATAGGTGATTGTTCCACTTTTGTCCGTGTCCATATTTGTAAACATAGCTTTAAGTCCTTTAATTTCCTCTTCCGACAAGCTCTGTGCAATGACCTGCAGGCATTTATATACACATTTGTTGCCAAAATTTAAGATTTGAGCCACATTGAGTGTGTTAAGAAGTAAGTGCTAAAAATTTACGTTTCAGTTAGACAACAACGAATGATATTTTGACAAGAGCTTTTATACAGCTCGATGTTAACAGGGGAACACCCTTAAAAGAGATTTTACCTTCAGTGCGAGTTTCTTGAGCTTATTCATTGCCCTGAACTGCTTCATTCTAGTGAGAACTGCACTATCTATTGGCTTGTCGGGTGCTTGTCCCTTAATCCAAGGGTGGTCTTCAGATACAGACATGAAACATGATCAAGTCCATGAGTAAAAGGACTAGAAAATGAATTATTTACATATACAAATGAAAATGTAAAGACAACATACGCAGAAACCTACTAATATAAGATGTTGTAGATTTCTCAGACAGTAATGTTTCGTTTGTGCTAAAAAGGTAAAAAATAAAACCACAAACATAGCAAACTCAGAGCTTTGTCTTCGTAAGAGCAAATATAATAGTCACAGATACAATCAAACACAGCTACTAGAAAAATGACTAAAGATAAAATAAATGTTGTATACAGTGAAACCCAAACTACAGATGGAAAGAGGAGAGAATATTACCAAGAACTTGAGTGGAAGTAAATCTCTTTGTTGGGTCCTTTGTCAGCATCTTCCGAACAAGATCTTTTGCACTGTCCGATATGGAAGGCCATGGCTTGCTGTCAAAATCAATTTCTTCTTTCAATATAGCATCAAAGATGCCCTTTTCAGTTTCTGCCAAAAAGAAATTAAAAAGAAAAATTAAAACATAATAATAATAAATTACTTTTAGGA